ATGCGATATCTAGTCTCATATCACGATATTGATTGAATATTGATGTACATGTGTTTCCTGGCCTTACCAGCGAGCGTGTGTTATTACTGGAAGACAGTTGCGCAACACTGCCAACTCGCAACAGGCTGGAGTCATGGCTGACAGGGTCAAATGGTCCAGAGCATGGCTTCCTTTAATTAAGAAAGATGACAGTGCGGCTGTGTCTATGAACTTTTTTCAAGTAAGTCTGGAAACACCAGCATATTGTTTCCACTGGTAATGTTAAGTTTTGGCAGGCTACAGAAAAACCTTGCTGTCTCAGCAAAGAAGGCACTGTATCGTTTAGAACTGAAGGACTTGGTTGACTCTGCAAGGACACATTTTATGTGCAAAATAGTCCTTCACAGAGCATTTATTTAGTTAACAGTCATCCATGTTGTGTTATCCGTGGCCTTTTCCCAAGTTAGAACACAAAGTGGTCAAGTACATCTAACTTATTTTCCTTCTCTCAGGCTATTGGGCTGGCGCCATGTGCAAATGTGGTTTGTTAACGAACTAATGGCAACAAACATCTCATCTGTGTTTCTCTGTGTAACAGCGTGCTGCAGAGTCATCCATATTATTCATTCAGCAGTACTTTGGTCTTAGTGTTTACTGGTGAGTCGGCCCATCGAGCAGCACTGTGGCATCTGTGTTTTGGACCTGGCTTCGTATTTTGTTTTCGCTGTTGGCCCCCCCACTTCCCTAGGATCTCAGGGTCTATTAATACCAGCTTGCTCTAAAAATACAGAGTACTGTGTGACCCACTGGGACTAAACAGGAGCTCGACCTCTTACCGTAGGCACATTGACATACACACACAGCGGTTATACATTCTGACCTGTACTGTAGTTGCTGAGATGTTTTCCTGGTATTTGCACTGAAACCTGGAAATCAAATCACCCATGAACTTTCTTTAAATTCCTGGATAGTCATTTAACAAATATATGTACCGTAAGTTCCACATTAAACACATTAGTTTTGGCAAGATATAGTTAATCAAACCTTCAAGCCCAACTGAGAACAGGGAAGTTTGTTTCTGTTGATGTTAAAGGGTTGTAGCAGTGTTTGTTTGCCTGCTTTTGTGTGGATATTTACTAATCATCATGGCCCTAAATGACTTGGCTCGATACGTAAAAAACATGTGCTCTGGATTTTAAACATCATTCAATTATTCCCCTAATTTGTTTGGGGCAGCGATTGGATGCAACTGGACAAAGTCCAACTGTTAGATTGAATTTTTTTCCCAAACAACTTGTGAAAATGTCAAAAGAGAAAGGAGAACATTTTATGCAGAAACACATTTGTTTATTGGATAACGGCTAACCTTTGTGTTAACGTGTGCCCCGCTGATCTCTGCTTGTTAGACTTGGGACATGTAGCATTAAATGATTGATAAGTATCTCACCAAGTAAAACAATTAAATGTTCATCAGGGCATGAACATTATAATTCCAGGCCTCATAATTTTGTTTCCAGTTTCTCAGCTGGCTCCATGTCTCATGGACTCAGGCTGACTAGTTGATCTAGAAGAATTCCTCCACGTCATCAAGAGGTGTCAGTTGGACTTGATTGTGACATTGTCAGGAACATTGACAGTAATATATTCTCATGAAAACACTTACTGTGGCATGCATGATGCTTCTGTTTTAGTAAGTCGATAACTGTTTTTCTGCCTATTTGATAGTGATTGATTAAATATCTCTAGGGTTTTGAAATATTCAACTCACTATTGGTGCAAGTGTTTCTAGAAATCTCAATAAGCTGGTATCTATTTTCAATATTAAGGCTGTGTCATGTAAAACTGCTGCACAATACAGACTCCTATGGAGCATACAGAGGCTACTTTATAAGGCCCATTTCCTTCAGCAGCAGCTTTTTAAATATGAGCAATTTGATCTGACATGAACTCTACATTTTAAAGCCAAAGATAGAACAGTCTGTTTATTTCATTTTGGGCATATTGGCTAACAATCTTAAAACTTGAATGTTTTTAGTTTTAGGGGTTTGTGATTGAGTATAATAGCACAGCATCATGTTTTGCTGGCTCTAAAATTACCATCAAGTTGATTAAATTACAGCTTGTTGTGTGGTAATCTAGGCAGACTTTAATAGGATTGTGTTAGCGACAAGCTATGTTTGAGTGGAGCAATTAACCTGATTTTCTTTTAAGTATTATTTATTTCTATACTATATTTCAATTACTATATTAGGCTTTGTCCCCTTGAGACACTATTTCTCCTGATGCTACTTTGCCCATTATTTTGGATCTACGTGTTTACTATTAGGTGCACACATGCCTCTGTATAATACAGTTTAGAAACAGCGAAAGTTGTCAAATCATGTACCATCAATCGTGTTAAAGGATTTATTACAGTCGTATTTACAGGGAAAAATATATAAAATATATCAATGCACACAAGAACATGTATAGAATATGGCGCAGCAGACGTAAACAACAACGCAATGCAAATACTGCCATCTGACAGCCTATTTGACACGATTTTCATATTTTTTTGAGTAATTATACAGTTTTTAACAAAGAGAAATATTGTTTTCTGGTATCACTTTACATACATCTGATCAATTGTATTTAAGATTCTTCTTTTTCTTTTAGTTCAAACTGGCTTGGGGAAAAATGTGGGGGGGGAGAATGTGAGAATTTCGCCCTTAAGGGACATTAAATTCATTTAATCAATTTTCCAACCTCTATTACATTTCGGAATAATTGCATAGCAGTCAGGTTAATTTGATTTAATTCATCATTCAAATGTCACCGTCATTAAGTACGGATCATTTCTAAAGCTTCAGGGCTAAATATCTTTTTCAGACTTGCTTAAATGGTGAGGATGTGATGAATAGGGATGACACCAATTAAGTTTAGTGTTGGTTCTTTATACGTGTATGAATAGTCAAAGTCTCCTTTATAATACAAAATAAATTAGAGCTAAACATGTATAGCTGCTGTTCGCCAACACCTATAATAACTATAAACCCCCTTGTCATTTATTTATTTTAATTGTACCGCATTGAATCAAGGTGCAATCATTTTCTTAGGGTGATATACAAAGAGAACAACAAATCATCACAAATGGATCTATATTTAGAAAAATACAACATGTACGATACAACAAGTAGTTCACACACTGTATGACGCAATTCATCACCGGTGCAACCAGTTGTTTGGAAGAGTTCCATAATACTTTGCATGGTGTGTTAATCTGTGTATCGTCAAGGTGTGACAAACCTTTGTTGGAAAAATATTCATCATAATGGAAAGATGTACCCTTTAGATTCCTTCATTTGTTTATTAAAGTTCTTCAATTATACCCTGGATTCATATTCTAATAATAATGAAATGTCAGTGATTCCAAGTTACCCGCCTAATCTAAAATAAACTCTAGTAAAACATTCTGTATAGTAATTTGCTATCTGAAATGCGCTGAAGCACTTTTGTCCAGATGTTGCCACTCAAATTGGGTCTTGAGATTCTTCCAAAGAAAACGATATTTGAACCCCGTAAACAGCTCCAAACAAACAGAATGTCTTGGCCCCAATAGAGACACCTGCTTTGTTTGAGACCTGTGGCTGCATAATGGTTCAGTTAACATTAATGCTATAACCAAATATTGCTAGTCACGCCAGCATCTTGTCTAGCCACTATTTCAAAAGGTCACTGCAAAAGCTTTAATACATGTTAAATAATTCATTAAAACCAGATTGGTTTGTTAAAATGTAAACCTAAAAAACACTCAAAACAAGGAAAAAGTATTTTGCTTTAAGTCACTGTAATGTTCGTTGTGGCTGATTGCTTAAATATAGGCTCCATTCACGTGGCAAGGAGTGGTATTCACTTTAAACGGGCCTATCTTTTTTAAACTGTCCACTCCAAGGTCAGCGCCTCACCATGTGATTAGTCTGCCTCCACTTTGTGTTACACAAAGCAAGTGAGTCACACTTTGTCAACAGCAGCGACGTCTGACTGTCCCTGTTTGAGTTAATGAGTGATGAAGGCCTAAGCCAACGAACAAGGCACCTTTCTGTGCTGACATGAGCCGCTGTTAGTTAATGACTAATTACAGCATTGTGTTTACCATTACCTGTCAAGGTGAGTGAGTGGTACGGATGGTGCCGTAAGAGAGCCACAGTTCACCTGACCGATGACAACGCCCCGTGTCATCGTTCAAGAATGGAAACCAGTGGAAATGTTTACAAGAGATCTGCATCATGTCAGTCAAATATCTTTGAACAGGCTGTGATGACTGTTTGGACAAACTATTGTTCACCAGCAACAGGTGTGGAATGGTCTTGTTGAGACCTGCTGTTTTAACGCTCTGTGCACAGACAGCTTCAGTGGGAGACTCAGCAAGAACACTTGTGTACGGCTAGTTTGCAGACTGCACACAAATTCTCCGACGCACCGAGAAGCACACCCAAGTTGCAAAGGTTAAAATCAGAAGCTTGGGGTTATGGACACAGGCAGGTGGTGGTGTCGAGAGGACATCAGCTTGCAAGCTATGGACTTGAACCCAGAATCAAGCCTCATGTGGTGGAAAGTGTCAATGTTGAGCTTGAATCCTGCTTAGTTTTGTTTTTTATTCCCCAAAATGACCAGTACAGCTTCAAGTAGATATGTAAGATCTAAGGCCTCGTCGTCTGGGCTATTCAAATTCAGTCAAGTACATAAAAACACATTTTGAAAAACTCATACGTTTTGGTGGAAGTCTAAACTCAAATCTATAATAAACAGGTTGTTAGTTTTTGCCTGTTAGTGCTTACACTAAAAGTGTGTGTCTGTCTGCGTGAGGAGGGAGAGACAGGTATTGCTACAGACTGTGTTGTGGAATGTGTGGTGGAGTTTTTGTGGTTTGCAAAGTGTTTGGCAGGGGGAGGGACCTGACACGCTGCTGAGCTACTTCTGAGCTGCAGGTCCCTCCCCCCACTCCACCAGCTCAGTCTGTGCTCTGTTCCCTTAAAGGAATAGTTACCTCACAGCGGCCCTGCTGTCTTATCAATCTTTTGGCTTCTCGTCTCTGCTGATGAAGTTGATGTTGACCCGGGCTGAGGACACACACTGACAGATAGTGCTGACTGTAGAGATTGCTATCTGGCTCCACTGATGATATTACCCTCCTGTCCTCCAGGTCCATGTGTGGTCAGTGAAGCCTGGAGAGCAGCATGGAAAAGTGTCAGTTGAGGGCCTGGTTGAGATGAGGTGAGTGAACAGGCCTAACCTGGAACCAGAGTGTCACCCACCCACTTACTGTGGGCGTGATATGGGGATTAAAAAAACCAAAACGTATACAGTTGTCATATTTTGTATTGCTCCCAAATTAGGCATTGTAGAGAAATTGTATCACAAAAGGAGGTTGTGGTTAAAAAAATGGTAGCAATCCAGATTAGTAAAGGAGCACAATGTATGATCAAAGCCAAATAAGTGAAATGTTAGTAATCCTTGACTTGGACCTTTGAAATGTGGGATATGCTACATTTTCACAATTATTTTTTTCAAATTTCTCTCTTAACGTTAGATTTTTTGTCTGAAATACTGATGTTTTTTTTCTTCTCTCCATCAGTGTCGCCTGTTCACCATGTGAGCTCCACTGACAAACCGCTTTCTTCACACCAGACCTCAATCGCAATCACCAGCCAATCAAATGCACCCGGACAATAAACTGGCCAATCATGGCAAGCAGGTCACCAGTGACAACCAATCCCGAATACCCAGTGTAAACCAGCAGGCCCAGCAGCAGCAGGGAGCCGCCGGCCACTTGGGTCCAAAGGGCGTTGGTGCCGGGAGCCATGGAGTCAAAACCAACCAGATTTCCCCCGGCAACCCTGGGCTGAAAGCAGTCAACCAATCAGTAAGCAGTGTCGGAGGGATGTTGAAAACCAAATCCAAGCGGGAGCGGAGTGTCTCCATGGACTCTGGTGATTCCCGAAGTGCAGTTCCTCCAGCCCTTGAGACGGATGCCAAAGGAGGTAAGGCATACACACACAAAACTGTGTCAGAGTCCGGGACATATAGACAGTGCGTCTGTGTTCTAAGTATGCAGCAGTTCACTTCCTCTACCTTCCTATCAGCTAAATCTTTACCCGAAATACCAGATTACGAGCATTCACCTCCTCCACAGCAGGAAGTGAATGTAAGGACTGAGAGAGTAACTTGTTTTGCTGAAATGCCCCGACCTTTCAGTGAAGCGTCAGAATTTCCCCCTGGCTTTTGATACCTTGTGCCCTGCCTGCAGTGACGTGTCCCAGATGAAAAGGCATCTGGGCCTCCTGTAGTGCTCAGACGGGTCATGAGGTCACCAAAACTTAGTAAGCCTACAGAGGTTGCTTATAAAGCAGAAACATTGAGTGAGTGGGCGGGGGAGGTTTTGTTGTGAGTGTTTTGGTAAATATGATTGATCATGTGGTTCAGTAATCAGTACACAATCTTTGATTGGTGTTGCTTATTTAAGTGTTTCTGTAAGTGATTGATGCAGAGGAACATTTTATTTTTGTAAAACTCTTTAGGGCTTCCTGTACACGACTGGAATCTCTTTAAACACACACCGACTTGCACACATGCTCAGGTGTGGTTCTAATACAAAGAGGGACAGAGGCAAAAATTGTAAGAAAATAGGACTCCATGTGACCTCCATACACACACAAAGACACACACCGCTTTTGTTCTCATTCCCTTTTATTACATTTTACACAAAATGCATTTAAATGAAACGTAAGCCTCTCTCCTCTCTCCTTGAAATCACTACGCCACCAAACCTGGAAACTTGTATCGTGATGAATAGTCTTAGCACACTGTTAAGTTTCTCCTTGAAATAAATGCCTAACCCTTACTCACCCTGTGCTACCTTGAATCCTTGATAAAAATGTTGTTTTTCTCGCATGCCTCCACAGTGAACGGAGAATCTAGAAAGCGGAAGAAAAAAAAACTTAAAGGGGCCCTACTCTGCTATTTTGGGTACTTTTCCTGTAGTGTATTATATGGGTTTTTGTGCATGTTAATGGTCTGCAAAGGCCCCCCACCCACTCCCCCCCTGCCTGAAACGCCTCGATTGAAGTCCTTTGTTTACTTCCCTGACACATTGACATCACTATGTAACAATTGCACTTCTATTGGCTAGTGCTCCAACACATTGTATGTGATAGGCTAAAGGCATCTCTAAGCGGTTGACCAATCAGAGCCGACCAGCTAACCAATCAGATCAGACTGGGCTTTGGTTTCAGACAGAGGGGGAAAAGAGGTGCTGCAGCACAGGCAGTATGAGAAAAATAAAGAGCTTATGGACCATTAAACCATGTCATGGCCATTTCTACTGATCATAATTCCATTGTTGATGTATACTAAAATAGATTTACATTGTTCAATGTTCCAAACTCACATTGGTTTCTCATACAGCATCTCTGTGTATTCACTCTCTGTCCTACATGCCTTGTTGGAGCTCCGTTTTGCAGACTTTGCAGACCGTTTACATGCATAAAAAGCTACATAACACACAAGGGGACGGGTAATAACCAGAAAAGAACGACATGGGACCTTTAAACATGTCACAGTAGAGGCACAAAATACAATTATGAACCTACAATTAAGCACAATATTGGGGCCCAGTTAAACGCCAGACACACATCGAATCTTGTGCTCACAAAATCTGAAACGCATTTACTCTTGTGCACTTCGTGTCTCAAGATTTCGCTGATGCTCTTCTCGTCTGTGCATGAACCTGTAAGTGTTCACTTCACGAAGATTTATCAAGGATTTACACTATTTATCAAATTTCATTGTTCATCCTTGTAGGCAAGTGAAAAAAACAATTTTCTGTAAGAATTCTGCCTTACACAGGAGTTATTAATATTCAAATAGTCATTTTAAGGTGAAGTTTTCCTTTTAAACCGGTAACCGCTGGTAACAAAAATGTCAAGAGAAGAAGAGGTCAGCTCTTTTTACTCTGCCTTTCTGTGTCAAGGCAGCAGCCTTCCTTCTGCTGTCCTTGTTATTGTCACTGCACACTTCCTTCCTTCCTTCCTTCCTTCCTTAATGTACATTTATACGCGTCTACTAGGCCTGTGGTTACCCAAGCTCATCTAATGTGTTTATTGGAAGGTACTTTTTCTGCCACAGTCAGTAAGATGTTGAGTAATGAACCTGAAAGGTTTTCACTGTCCTGTTTATAGAGATGCTCTTAATATGTGACAGTATAGGGGTGTTACCAAAGTAGCTTTTCTCTCCAGTCCCCATAGGAGTTTATACTCAACGTTGCATTATCTTTCAGAAGTTGGTGTTGCCTCTTTACTGCAGGTTACCCTTCTGGAAATGTTAAAGCTGCCACATATTTCCTGCAGCTGTTTGCACTCTCTGGCCGACAGCACCTTGTGCATCCACAACATCCTAATTACACCATGTGAGCACACTCGGCTAATGCTTCTCAATACATTGCATGTGCAGATGTGATTAGCATGTATAGCCATTTTTTGCGAAAATACAATTAAAATGTTTACAGAGACGAGCAGAGGTTAAAGATTGAAATGCAGCTGTAAACCAGGATCCTATAGCTTCCATAGAGTAAGGCAAACTGCATTAGAGATAATAGCACAGCTCTGGATAATACAGTGGTGGTTGAGTTTAGGCCATCAGTAGCGAATAATAATAATAATAATATAGATTATACCCTTTTTAAAGGGTCAATACTGTGACAGTTGTTGTTGACATGTGTGTCTTATCCTCTAGAAGGTGTGATGCGCAGTAAGCGGCGCTGTGTTCTGGAGAAGAAGCAGCCATATAGTGGAGATGAATGGTGCTCTGGACCCGACACAGAAGAAGATGAAGATAAGCCACACACTGCGACTCACCGTGAGTCCAGCCATCTGTACAGAGGAGGAAACACATTGCCAATAGCTGTTGTCTTAATTTAGAACGATGATCTCAATGGGATCCACCTGGTTAAATAAAGGTTTGAAATGAAATTGAAGAACAGTCATCATTAGTAATAGTGTCAATGTAAACATTACATGTAGAAATCCCCATGCTTTTCTTCTTTTCATTTTTTCTGAAAACCGTTTGCTATCCACAACTGTTTTCAGCTCCTGTACATAAACTCAAAAGGGAGATAGTGTCAGCATCTGCCATACTGCTCCTTTCCACTGATTTGACTTTACATGTGTTTTAGCTCCATCTAGTGTTAAGATGTTGAAGCCAAAGTGATACTGGTATTACATATAAACCATAATACCAATGTAGGCCATTTAAACCTAGAGGGATCCCTTCCCTGTTGCACTCCCTTTGTCCGATGTGTGGGTGTAAGCACAGAAGGCGTCTTGTTGAAGCCCTCTGAGACAGATGTAAAATGTGTGATATTGGGCTATATAAATAAACTTTGATTGAAACCACTGTGTTACTTATTTCTCTCAGGAGAGCGTGGGCTGGCAGGTCCTAATCCAGGGCTTCCTGACCGCCTGTCCGCAGGGCCCATAGCTGAAGCTGCACGGCCTGTCATGGGATGTGGAGTGGGACCCGGGCTGAAGACAGAGCAGCCTCAACCTTCGCAGCAAGTGGTGTATGTTTTCACAACCAACCTCGCCAACAGGTGAGAACTATTTGCAGGCCTCACATGCAGGTGATTTCAAATCACAAGCAGCATGTATGGATTTTTTAAAATATATATCTGCTAAATTAATTTGTAATATTGCTGTATGTGTATTGCAGTGCTGCAGAGGCAGTATTCAAAGGACAGAGCGATTCCATCCTTCTGTTTCACCAGCAAAATGTTTCACGCACCAAGTTGGAGCAGGTCAGTAGCAAATTAGAAACAATGTTATGTTTGTGTTAAACCATGGGGGAGAAAAAGTGTTTTTCAAGACCACAGATGCAAAGCATGTGGGGAGGTTAATATGTTAGACTATCATAGTCTCCGATACATCTTTGTTCCTGTTTCTACTAGCAGTGCTTGTGACTACTTGTACTAAGAAAGTGAAGTTCACTATGTGTTGTTTAAGCATGTTAACAATTAGATAATGTACTATAAACTGTAATTACTTCTGTTTTAGACATAGCAATTATGTAATTATTTCTTTTTGCCCTTGTTTGCCTCAGGGCCACCCATCAGGGACGCTTCCTAACCTATCTGAGAAGGTGCACTCCAGCAGCTCTCCACCCACAGGCACCCCTAAATCCCAAGGTGGAACTCCACGGCCAGCCTCCGCAGGGATTGGAGGCCCAATGCATCCTGCAGGGACACCCACATCAGCAGGTCACTCCGACAATGAATCCTCTCGAACCAGACCTGGCGAAGGCTCAGGCAATAACAGCATTGTTGTCCAAAGGTCAGAGGGTGGGGTCACAGCCACACCCTCAGGCCCGGTCCCAGGAACCGGCAATGGGGAGGGTGCAGGGGGTATGTGTCTTCCACTTGCTGCTGTTTCCCCCTCCGGAAGTCCCTCCATCCTTTCTGCACACCTACTGGGAGATATAGGCCAGAGGATTGGCCCAGTGAACATGGATGGTCTTTCAAAAGAACAGTTGGAACACAGGGAGCGCTCTTTGCAGACGCTGAGAGACATAGAGAGGCTGCTTCTGCGCAGTGGGGCAAGTGGAGGCCCCGGAGGCCCCGGAGACCCAGGAGGCCCAGGAGGCCCCAACAACAATACTGGTAATAACTCTTCCAACTTAAATAATAACAACAATACTGATAGGAGTGGTATTCTCGACGGCCGTGACAATGGTACTAATAGTTCTGGAAACTGCAGTAGTGGTAATATGCTAGCATCAGCTTTGGGTCCGATGGGAGGGATGAAGAAATATGAAGAACCCCTCCAGTCCATCATATCCCAAACACAGACCCTTGCTGGACCAACCCTTGACAGCCCTCAAATGGACTCTCATCACAACCTACAGCAACACCCCCATCACCAGCTGTCTTCACCTGGGCTCGACATGGGTCCCTTACTCGGACCAGATGGGCTGACCCCAGAGCAAATAGCGTGGAGGAAACTTCAAGAAGAATACTACCATGAGAAGAGACGTCAACAGGAAGTACAACCCCCCACACATCCACAGCACTTTAGAATGATGAATGAGATCGGCATGCATGGAGGTCCCATGATGATGAGAGGACCCCCTCCTCCCTACCACAGCAAGCCTGGAGACCAGCAGTGGGGTCCTGGCAACATGATGGGAGGAGGAAATGCACGAATGATAGACATGCACCAAGAAGGACCCCGTGGTCCAAGGTTCCTGGGACAGATGCAGAGAGGGCCCCCTGGGGGAGGTGGTTTTCCTGGTAGTAAAGGGGGAGTTTTGTCAGTAGAAGGTCTAGGACCTCAAAGGCCCGCCAGGCCAGGGATGATTTGGCTCGAAGATATGCCCAACAACATAGGTGGTGGAGGAGGTCCATTTCAGGGCTGCTACCCTGGGGGGCCTCCTCAACACTTGCAAGGTGACACAGAACATCTGTTAACGCACGAGGAAATGTTTCGCCTGATGGAGAAACGTCAGATGCAGGGGCTTCCCAGGTTTGAACTTGAAAGATTAATCAAACAGCAGCAACAGGGCAACCTGGCCCAAAGAATAATGGATAATCCCGGGGGCCCAGAATTTCACAATTTGGGAATGGGCCGGGGTCCCCCCTCATCTCGAGGTGATCCCATGGACTTTCCTGGATCACGGGAGATTATGGTCTCTCCTGGAGGGGGTCCGCAGATGAGAGACCTTGTGGATTCTCCTCTGGGGGGCAACCACCCAATGAACATGAACCAACAGATGAATGTTCAGCAGCAACAGCAGATGATGCTCTCTCAGAAGCTAAGAGGGGGTCCTGCAGGTGGGGGGCCTTTAAGTGAGATGTTCATCCCCGGAGAGCTTTCACGAATCAGGGCTTCACAGAACGGAAGAGGGGGAAATAAGGGAATGATTCCGGGACCTGACGGCCACTTTCAGTTTCCGAATCACAGTCCCTTCTCCGGAGGTCAGGGGGACGGGCCTTATCTTCAACAACCTGGCCATGAGATGTTTGGGCCTGACCCCCAAGGTCATAATCAAATGGGAGGTACATCGCGGCTAAGTCATATGCCCATGAGTGGAGGCCTCAGGGGGGTAGACCTCGGTCCTAGGCACCCTTCTGACCTACCAATCAATGTTAACCCCCTGACCTCTCCTTCAGTGCCTCGTCCTCATCAGCTCAAGTCTCCATCTCTCCACCAAGAGCCATCTCCTCTCCTACCCTCCCCCTCCGCTCCAGGACTGAAGTCCCCCTCACAGATCTCCTCTGTGGGGCATCATCCAAATCTTCCCCCTGCCTCTGGAGCTGGGACTCCTTCCTCTTCTTCCATGAAGTCTCCCCAGATAATGGGGTCTTCCAACCTTGGATTGCACTCTCCATCTGCCTCTCCTGGACATCTCAAATCCCCTGCTATGGCTGCGGGGTCTCCAGGGTGGGCTTCCCCTAAAACGGCTCTTCCAAGTCCAGGTGGTCCAACCAGTGGGAAGGTAGTGGGCAATGGAGGAAGTAGTTCCACTGAGACAGGTATATATTTAAAATCCAGCATGACACGGAATCATCATTAATGCGGTTTCTCGCATTACTCAGACATTAATTTTGTATGTTCCTTGCAGGTCAATCACTTCCCCCCAGGAGTTCCAACTCGACACCCATTAGCCAGCCAGGCTCTATGAATCCTAGCATACCATTTACTTCCTCTCCCGATAACCCCCCAACTCAGAATCCTTTATCTCTTATCATGTCTCAGATGTCCAAGTATGCCATGCCCAGTTCTACTCCTCTTTACCACGATGCAATCAAAACAATTTCCACTTCCGATGATGAGATGCTTCCAGATCGACCTCTTCTATCTGGTGTCAGCATTGGAGGTAAGAAAAAATGAAAGACTCAGACATAACTGTGTTGATTCTGAGATCGATGTTGGTTTTCTATTTAAAAATCTGCTTGCAAAACGATCATATGATGGTACAGCTACTTTATATATAGACTTCGTATTCATATTTCATAAATTGTATATTAAAGGTGGGGTAGGTAAGTTGGAGAAACCGGCTCGAGATACACTTTTTGTTATATTCCATGGAATGCTCCTAACATCCCGATAGCAATTAATATATTAAGTGCTTTGACAAAAATCCATAAAAAAACGTCATCTGTGGAAGCCGTAGTACTGTAAAAAGCACGACCAATCATTTTAGCCGGCCCGGCTAAAATAACTGGATGGCCTACCTGCCTGTCAGCCTTCCATCTGTGCACAAACTTATCTCGTGCCCTCATTGGTCATGTGCGCGTTCGTGTGTGTTGGAGGAGGGGCTCTGTAAGGAAGTGTCAGATTTTTTCCGGTTGTGTATTTTCAAATTCTAGCGCACTCGAGCTGGTTTCTCCAAAATTACCTACACCACCTTTAAGTATGATGGGTTGAAATAATGTCAGCGTATTGCTAAATATTATTATTTATTTTATTTCTTGCCTTGTTTTATCACCAGGAAACATGGGGAACAGCCAGGCCTCCCAGATGCTTGTCTCCCAGTGCTCCATTGGCTCCCACAGTGATCCACAAAGCCCCATGGGTATTGTAAGCCAAGGTCAGCAACACCTGTCTCATGATGCCTCCGGACCTATGCTTTCTTCACCAAATCCAATGGGTATGCCTGCCATGAATTCGGCCATGATGGGAGGAGGGGCCCCTGACGGAATGGGGCCCTGCAATGTTTCACCTTTATCTCAGAACCAGATGGCCGGTTTCTCTCGCATCCACCAACAACCTCATGGGCCCATGCACTCACCCATCGGAGGAATGTCACATCATTTCCATCAGTCTAATGAGGATATTCTGTCACCTCAGCAGTTACACCTGCTTAGAAAAGGTCATCCTCACCAGCGGCCCCCACATCCCTCTGACTCATTCGCCTCTTTGCCCATGGGGGACGGCACTGATCTAAGTGATGTTATGCGAACCAGTCATACGGGTATCCCTGAGTTTGATCTCTCCCGCATCATTCCTTCTGATAAGCCCAGTAGCACTCTTCAGTATTTCCCTAAGATCGAGCCACATCAGAATCCACATCAGGGGCCACAAGCTACTTCACAGCAGCTCCTCAAACAGCTGTCTTCTGGCCCTCCACATGGCGGCGGTCATTCATCCAACCCCCATTTAGCCAACCTGCAGAATATGATGGCCGAACAGCAGCTGGCGCCTCACCCCTCACATGTTGGAATACGCCATAACATGGGTATTCCTCATGGTGGATCTAGAGGGATGGTTCCTGGGGGTGGCATGGGCCCCATGTGCCCTCCTGGACATATGATGGGAAGGACAGGCATCGGGCCCCAGCAGCAGCTCCAGCATCAGCAAGCCATGATGGCGAACAGCCTTCTCCACCATCCATCCAACCCTTACCCTGGCATGATGTCGTCTCAGCAGCACTCACACAATCTGATGGCACAGCAAAACATTATGATGATGCAGGCTAAGCAGCGCGGCATGTCACTTCCAGGGGATCCCTTTGGCCCCCAGGGTCCTCTTATGTCCCCTCAGGGTCCCATGATGGCCCCAAACCACCCACAGGCTGGTATGATGGGCCCCCAGTCTCTCAGACAGCGGGGAATGTCTCTAGACGGTCCCCTTGGCTATGGCCCCGGAGGTATGGCCAATATGCCATTCTGATCCAGTTCAAATAAACTATCAAAATCAACAAAAAACAAAAAAAACAACAACGTCGACTAGGTCACCTTCCCATTGTGTAGAATTATTTTCATTAATGTTATTCTTGCAGTTATTTCAAAAAGAGGATCTGTAAAAACGTTAAATCATTTTGGATTATAAATTAAATGAAATATTTAAAAGCACTGTAACACGATTCAATGACAAATCTGAAGCCATTTTCTAAAATACTGTAAAATATGTATATTTCAAAGATGTGTGTATTTGTTGTTGGAACAGAGTGGCTTTCAGGAGAGGAGTGCCTCAAATTTCTATTTGTTTTAATACCATTGATTTATTTTCTCCAACTACCAAACTGTTGTGCAAAGGAACTATATATGTGTATGCATATACAGTATATACGGTATAGATATACAGTGTATACATGTATATACATATAAATATATATAATATATATATACTTGCTGTATATAAGATGCAATTTGTGATTGTTTGCAGTTGTTCTGTATAACAGTGTTTTAATAGAAGTCTAAAAATAGAATAATACTGATCTCTATGGTGGTTTTAGTTTCTGTTATTGTGTCAATTATTAATGCTTTACACATTTGACAACAGGAAAAGGTTTATTTATAATATATGACATTTTTATTCAATGGAAATATCAGTAGCTAAAGTAAAAGTTAAAACCAATCCTGGACAACAATAACCTTTTTCTTTTTGACAGAGTAAAACAAACATTTTTATTACAAACAAAGTGGGTACTATATTGTCAGAACATGTGATGATATTTTACATAATGACAAATGAAATTCTGCAGAACAGAAGTTGTTTTAGTAACAGCTGACACAGAGTTGATTAGATGAGGATGTTGCTGCTAGTTAATCCTCCATCAGAAATGGATGGTCGGCTGTGACCCTGAGCTTTCATGAAAGGAAGACAAACCCAGCTGCAGCCCATCTGACACAGTAACTTTATCAGCTCATTGCGAAACCGCACCCCAACAAAGGCATACAAGAACGGGTTCAGGCAACAGTGTGAGAGGCCGATGCTTTTTGTCACATCAAGCGCTGGCTGAACTAGGTCATAAGAAGTACAGTTGTCATACTCGATAACCTCCAGGTCGCCCAAAGTTGTGATCAGTAAGGTGATATTGTATGGTAGCCAACAGAAGAAAAAGACGAGCGTGACGAGTAAAGCCAGTCGAATTGCTCCTTGCTTTGCGTTGCTTTTCTGACTGTTGCACAAAGTAACTACCACTGCTGTGTAACAATAGCTCATGACAGCGAGAGGAAGGAAAAAGCAAACATGATCTAACACTCTTTTAGTCAAAACCCAGTTGTTGGCATGGATGAGGTGAAGATGATAGGAACAGAAGAGTATAGGTGTGTTTGTGTTGTTTCCCCCCACAGAAAGAAAAGCAGCATTGGGTATCGATAATCCCAAACAGAGCAGCCACAATGAAAAGCATGTCAGGTGCACTGTTCTCGGACGTCGACTTTGCATGCTGGGAATAGCATGAACAATGGCCAAATAGCGATCAAAGCCAATGCAAGCCAGAAGGAAACTCCCACAGTAGAGGTTTAGGATTTGCACCAGACCCATCAGCCTGCAGAGAAACTCCCCAAACAGCCAGCCAGCAACATTCTCAACTATATCAAAGGGGAATGTGAGAAGGAGCATGAGGTCAGACAGGGCCAGGTGCAGCAGGTAGATCTCTGTGATGCGCAGGCGGCGCCAACGTCGCAGGAGGATGGTTATCATCAGGCCATTTCCTGCTACACCCAGCAGGAAGATCAGGCTGTACAGCACGGGTTTGAAAACGGCATGAAACGTCCGCCGGCCGATCCCATCATCATCACAGACCATGGGCTTGTTGTCGTAAACGTATGTGTAATTATCAGAATATTCATCTTCTCCCAGCTGTAAAATACAAGAGGAAATGCTATTTTAATAATAACTTCACAGTAGGAGAATCACCTTGTGTGCTGTGGAATACACAACTGCGTTAATTTGGGTTGGGGTGAATGAACCGTTACATAAGCTTTAATAGCGCTAATTTGGGTTTTCGTCGTTCCGTGTTAAGTCAAATGATTAGGCAGGAAACACAGTATAGGCCAGGTTTTTTCACTTCCTCTTCATTTAAGACATAAGACATATTATTCGGGACGTATACTAACAAATGAAATGCAATAACTTTTTCCCTTTAAGTAACAACCATGTGGGTTATATATCTGGTAAACAAATCACAGCTAATAAAAAATTAAATAAAAGCATAAACATATTCAATTACATTCAAATTTCTGAATTCTGAAAATATGGATACAATGTGATATTGTACGAACACATTCAAAGATTGACATACAACTCTGAACACATCACCTTGAATGTAATAGTATTTCAATATAATAGCAGGAAATTAAGTAGCAGGATGTTCTTTGTGCTACAGTAACTTCAGAATTAAAGAAAAAGGGGAATAATTATTTACTTATGCATTCATTTTCCTTCTCATAAAAGAAGAAAACAAACATTACATTTCAAAATTATACAATTTTAAATGGAATCAGTGCTGCCATGACTGTCAAATGTTATTACTGAGTCTAAAATACACAGTGACTACTACAGTTTGCTCTTATATAACATGTTTTACCAAAATGTTATAATGCAATTTAATATACAATAATTAGTCTTATACATTTGACTCAAATAACAAGCAATTTGGATCACCACACAGGTTTTGTTTTGATTTGAAAACATAAATAATCTCTTTTTAATTGCATTAGTGTGATTAATCATATCATTTTTCCCTCTTACATGAGTGCATTTATAAAAAAAATATAACATTTTTAAAAGTACAGTAATTCATGCTACTGTAGCGTATAAAATATGCTTCTCAAAGTTGAAACAATTCAAAATACATGTAGAACTTATCAAGCAGCGACATGTTTGTTGTTTAAATCTAGTGTTTTAAATCTCAGATGCTGCAACAGACAATTAAAGGTTATTCTGGATACTGAAAGTTGTCCATTTGTAGTTAAAAGGACATTTAACAGACTAAATCACAGTAAGACTTGGACTGTTGCTTACGATGAAACCCATTATTTTAAGTGCATATAAATTATACACACATGCTTTATTTTAATATCTTATATTAGATTTAAGATTGTGACCTTCGATGCTAGGATAAGAGACTTTACATTTTTATATCAATTACCATTCACTTTAAAAATGTGAAATAATTTCTTACCTCATAAACAGCAAAGGTGTTTGCTAGAGCCATGTTGGTCAGTTTTGGTCACCTTAATGTATTTCGTACACTGCCGTAGTTAAATGAGCTTTTATGCCTTTTTGTGCTGGGTGTGGGATTGTTAAAAAAAAACAAAGATTGAAAATAGACACGCTTTAAATATGAGGCTTCCTATAGTAAGCATGAAAGAGCAGTAATGCATGTCAAGTAACCACACCCTACACTATATCCTAGTTTTCAACAAGCAACAAGAGGCAATCATACAGAACCATATTTATTTGCGTATTTTGGGCTATAACCTTATGGTATGGTGTATATATAAACATCCATGCATCATTCAGCTTTGCCCTTGATATCAATGTTGTTAAATGTTTTTTTACTTATATCTCAAATAATAGCCGCAATTTATCCATAATTAGATAAGTGATTAGATTGAAAGTAGAAAGTGTTACTTAATACTGTAGCTAGGATACATTCAGATGGAGAAAGCCCCTTTGGAACCCTGTAGGGAGGCCCTCAACCCCTGACTGCTCCATGGCCTGGTGTACACGTCAGATTATAAGTCTGTACTGTGAGTGTAAACATGGCATTCTTGAGAAGTCCGTATATATATATATATATATATATATATAGCCCTAGTTAAATAAATATTGCTTGAAAGTGCTGAACAAGGAGTAAATGTCACATACTGATCTCAGTTTCTTATGTGTCCCATTCATAATTCAATACAGCTTGCCACTTTTTGAGAGCAGCAGAACCACTATAAAACTAAACCAACTAGTAATTAAGTGAATCACTAAATAAACTAATTATTGACATGCCATTTTTTTAATGTAAAACTAATTAGGCTACCTGGTAGAAAACATGTTAATATGTTTATTGAGGCCTATTAGTATGGTATGATGTGGAATATAGGCCAGGCTGTAAAAAATATACCCGCAAGTTATTTGTCTATAAACAATAAAAATGAACATAATATGGTCAATGACATATGTACAAACATCATCCCATCTTGGGTAGAGGTGGGGTTGCCACACATTTATTTTGCCCTTTTCTCCTGACATGTAATCTCCTATTAAGCTTGAAAAATGAAATAGAGTACATTATGCACAATAAAGCTTTGGTAATGTGGAAGTGTATTTGACACTATAATGTTAGTGAAAGTATTTGGCATAATCCCTCTCCAAGCATGTTATCAGAGTAAGATTGGGTAATGTTAACAATTATTACAATTTGACATTTTGAGTGATTTGTTTTCTTAGAAAGTGGCATCAACCATGACACAGAATATGTAGCTGACATTAATTTGAAGGAAAAAGAACACGGATGAACACAATACCAAGAAAAGCTATGGCTCGATGGATGCAGTGGAGTGTTTGTACATTAGTAATATAAATTAGTCTGAAAGTATCATCATGAAATCAACATTCTGTCTATATGCTGTAAAATGTATTATCTCTTCGATTTACACACGGCATCTAATGCACGTCTGTCCGTCCTGGGAGAGGGATCCCTCCTCTGTTGCTCTCCCTGAGGTTTCTCCCATTTTTTTCCCTTTAAACTGTGGGTTTTCTCTGGAAGTTTTTCCTTGTACGATGTGAGGGTCAAAGGACAGAGGGTGGCTTTTTTCTCATACTGATATTCTGAACAATCTGTGCTTATTGTATTAGCTGTAAAATGTCTCTACTGTAGGCTATTTTTATTATATGTACAGCACTTTGGCTCGACCAAAAATTGTTTATAAATGTGTAATATAAATAAAACTTGATTTGATTTGATTTGATTTTTTGCCAAAAAAAAACAAACCGCTGGGGATAAGGAAGGGCGAATAAGCCCTGTTTTGAGGGAGGCATCAATATAGTTTTTCATGGCCTCTTTCTCAGGTCCTGAAATGGCATACAATCGACCTTTAGGAATGGAAGCCCCAGCAATCAAGTCTATAGCGCAGTCATAGGGACGATGCAGAGGAAGAGCCAGAGCCAGAGCCTTGGATTTACTAAAGACTTAACTTAGATCGTGGTAGCAGGAGGGAACTGAAAGTACATCAGGAAGATATATTTCTGAGATTGTATCCTGCATAACACTCCCAGTGTTACGTCTCCTGTCAATCTCCGCTACCTGCTTTAAACAATGATCAACGCAATTCTTTCCCCACCCATCCACCCTCCCAGAGTGCCAATTTATGTGAGGGTTATGAAATTTCAGCCAGGGAAACCCCAAAATGAGGGGATGTTGAGCTGAGTCCGGGACGCGGGTGGTGAGTGGTGACGGGGCCTCCAAGAAGAAGTGGTATACGACGGCGAGCGCCTCCTCTGGAGAGGCGGACCACCTGCAGCCTTTAATTTATCCCTTCTCCTCTCCGCCAAACGATTGTCTATTCTTATTGCCATGGATATGACGGAGTCCAAGTCAGCGGACAGATCGAGAGGTGGTCCTGGTGTTGTAGGGGATCCGAGAGACCGCTGACAAATGCGTCGAACAGCGCAGCGGAGTTCCATCCGCTGTCGGCTAAAATAGTCCTGAACTCAATAGGGAGGGATGGTTTTGGCGCAGTGGTTAGAGCGTTGGTCATCAGATGAAGGGGCATTGGTGAACTCCAGTTCGAATCCCGCCTCGGCCGCCACTGTGTCAGGCCGTTGTGTCCTTGGGCAAGACACTTTACCCGCATTTGCTCCTGTGGGTAATGTCCACAGTAATGACTTTTACATGTCTAATATGTGTAATGTGTATTTGTAAAGCGCTTTGAGCACCTGTGAAAGCGCTCTAATAAAAAATGTAATGCATTATTATTATTATTATTATTATTATAGTCAGCCACACTACGCTGATTCTGCCGCAGCTTGATCAGAGCCCGAGCTGCCTCTCTGCCCGGAGTGGTTTGATCGAAAATCTTCCTCATGGTGTCTAGGAAGTCGGCCAGAGACCCGCAGATGGGGGAGTCTCGGGACCACTCTGCCGTAGCCCACGCTGCTGCTCGGCCGGTGGGATGGGAGATTATGAAGGCCACTTTGGAGTAATCCGTGGGAAATGCAGCCAGTTGGTGTCGATAGTGTAACTCACGCTGTACGATGAACTGCCGGCAGTTTTTCTTTTCGGGTGAAGCCAGAAGCATGGACGAGATGTCCATGCGTCAGTCGCCGGGTTCGTACTGTCAGTGGGTGAACCCAGAGGCATGAACTCAAATGCACAACTCAGACTCGGGTGGTATTCAAAAATAAAGACTTTACTGGAATTTACACAGTAACAAAAACAAGAAACACAAAATCACTCTTCCTAGGAAAAACTAAATGCAATAATCGTGAGCATGAGAAAACGGGATACGACCATGGAGCAGGCTTGAACGTGGTCATGAATAAGAAACGAACTGGCACTGGACAGGTGGGGACTAACACAATATATACACAAGGTGAGGGGAACAGGTGGAAACAATCAGGGCGGGGAAACCAATCACGAACACAGGAGACACATAGGGGCGGGGAGCATGGAGTTCTGAAACGAGAGGGAGAATTACTTTTCACAATAAGACAGAGGGCACAGAACAAAGGGACATGACGAAACTAATATAAAGAATAAACTTTCATAATAAGTTTCCGAGACATGACACTGGCTAGCAAAACAATGGAGTAAAATCAATGGACAGGGAAGGTTGCAACTTGGTGCCTCACTCCCATCACTCCTGGACATTTACAACA